ACACCAAGTTCCTTCAATCGCCAACAAAACCAGGTGTCAACTATTTCAAAACTCACATGGCCACATTAAACACACCTAAGGAGAAACCCCAAGTTCCTGGGAGCTGCTTTGAAATCGTTGAAATCCCTCTGCTGCTGGGAAAAGGGCTGCTTACTCCAGGGAAAAGCAATAAGCTCCGACTCCTGGCTGGGAAGGGGCTCCAAGGAAGCCCTCGCCCCTCCAGCCTCCCTTCACCCTGTCTTCCAGTGCTCACCGAGGGGCTGTTTGCAAGTCCAAAGCTCAAACCAAACCTCTGAGGCACAAATGGCCTGAGCTGCCGCAGGAGAAGCTGGAGGATGGCTTACCTGGTGCTGGCCAAGCCCGAACAGACTCCGAGCTCTCTTAGCCAGCACAGGAGAAGGAGCAGACTGACCTTAGAGGGGGTTTTGAGCCAGAACTGTGTAATCCCACCCTGCAGTTTGCTTCTAGCCATGCCTGTCTAGCACAGGCTGGAGGTTAAAACTTAAACCCCCAACTGTGGGACACAGCTGTGGAAAGCACAGCCATTCAGGACCTGTGCCTGCTGCTCAAAGGAGCTGAAGCTTCTCCCACCCAACGGACAGGCCATTTGTCACTGTAAACACGTGCTGGAAAGCGAGTGAGCCTTGAATGCAGCCCTGCCTCGCTTCTTGGGAATACATCAGATTGAGCTCGTGCTTCCAGCGAGAGACCAATGCAAAGCTGCACACTGGGCTGTGGGGTCACTCGATCCAAGTCTTTCTTTGGGCACAAGACATAAAGCAAAGGGATGCAGAGCCAAGAGGGCTCCTGCCAGCACAGCCAGAGCAGGACAGGAACAGCTCAAAACTCCCTCCTTTCCCTGGGCTGTGGCCAAACCGGGAGTGGGGACAAGTCCCTTCCGAACTGCCCCCACAATTCATGTCCCCGTGGCTGCAAGCATGAGGCCGCCCTGGCCAACACCTTTCTGGAGAACAACAATGTGGCTGCAGCACCATGCCTCCCTCCTTGTGCCCAGGCCCAAACAGTCCCTGGGGGGCACATGAAACAGGCCTCCCACTGTCACTGCCCCACTGCTGAATGCTTTGGGCTCCACGCTCTCCCCTCCGCAGCCAAAGCCCTCCTTGGGCTCCCAACTCGGTCACAGAACCCAGGGCGCTCCCACCGCAGGGGCTAACCCAGTGACACGGGGGCTGGGGGTGACAAGGACCCCTTGTGCCATGGACCACAGCAGGGAGAGGGGCAGGGATCTCCCATCAGCCTGCCTGTGTCACCCCTGGCCTGCAAGGCCTGCAAAGGGAAACTCACCCCGGCTGAGTACGCCAACCCAAATCCAGCCTGACCCTTAGATTTATGAGCCTGTTTCCTCTCTGCTAATAAAGACTAATGACAGCCCGCAAAAACCCTGAGTCAGAGACCTCCAGCACTGCCCCAGCACCCAGCCCAGCCCAGCCAGGTGGCCACCAGAGCAGGTCAGCCCTTTCGCCGTCTCCCACCCACGGTCATGGCAAGCCCGGTGCTGGCTGTCAAGACCCCACTGAGCAGAGCCCAACCCAGTTCCCGCATGACTCCCAGGGCCTCGCCGGCCCTCACCCCCTCCCCAGGCCCCCTGCATCCACGGCTCGCAGAGGCAACCCCCCACCGGCTCCACCACGGGCCCAGCCTGGCCCTGCATCGACTGCAGCCACCCTCAGCCGGACCCGAGCT